TTGTATGTATGTACACATGCTCTTATACGTTTCATGCGCTTCACAATCCTTTTCATGTGTATTTGCCTCGCTACACCCACTCTAATCTGCTCTTATTACCACTTTATACTCAGTATGGTCACGAGGTGTAACATCGCCAACCACCCCATCGGCGGATAGTGAATCATTCGACGCTGTCGAAGCAGACGATCACATAAGAGACCAGCCCAATGAGAGAGTTCAGTTGGACCAAGGCGATGCTAATCACCGCAGGAGCGGTACAGCAAACAGTACTACACAACACAAGAGGATGGAGAGAGCGGCCTCATGGTGTGTGTGTTTAGTATGAGTATTGTTTGTGTATCTTTTGTATTATTACTGTTGGTATATGAATTAAACAAGTGGTGTATGTTTGTGTGTGTTTTGTATTCGTACTGTTTGTGTGTGTTTAGTATGAGTACTGTTTGTGCATGTTTTGTATTAATACTGTTGGTATATGAATTAAACAAGTGGTGTATGTTTGTGTGTGTTTTGTATTCGTACTGTTTGTGTGTGTTTAGTATGAGTACTGTTTGTGTATGTTTTGTATTAATACTGTTGGTATATGAATTAAACAAGTGGTGTATGTTTGTGTGTGTTTGTATTCGTACTGTTTGTGTGTGTGTTTAGTATGAGTACTGTTTGTGTGTGTTTAGTATGAGTACTGTTTGTGTATGTTTTGTATTAATACTGTAGGTATAAGAATTAAACAAGTGGTGTATGATTGTGTGTGTTTTGTATTTGTACTGTTTGTGTGTGTTTAGTATGAGTACTGTTTGTGTGTGTTTAGTATGAGTACTGTTTGTGAATGTTTGTATTAATACTGTTAATATGAATTAAATAAGTGGTGTGTGTTTGTGTGTGTTTTGTATTATTGCTATTGGTATATGAAGTAAGCAAGTGGTGTGTGTTTGTGTGTGTTTTGTATTATCACTGTTGGTATATGAAGTAAGCAAGTGGTGTGTGTTTGTGTGTGTTTTGTATTATTACTGTTGGTATATGAAGTAAGCAAGTGGTGTGTGTTTGTGTATGTTTCGTATTAGTACTGTTAGTGTGTGTTTTTGGGTGCAGTTGCTTACTTGTTACTGAGTACGGTGTATTGTATTGACCGCAAGAGTCTCATTTCTCTGTACTCACGTGTGTATGTGGGGGCAAGCCCGTTGCCAAGGCAACCGCTGAACTTTTCACACGCAATACCAGAGCCTTTGACCACTCACTGACAATCCTACCAAACACCACCGCTGTCCCGCCTCAGTGCAAGGGCAGAGAATGCATATGACCTCTTATGGTGGTAGCAATACACAGTATGTGACCTAAAAACCTCACACTCCAAGTCCAGGTTTTGAGTTTCTAGGGCTTGGGTTTTCAGGACTTGGGGTTTAGCCCCCGGGTGTGGGGTCGTTGATTGACTTGGGTATGTACTGTCCCACTTGTAGGCAGCCGCCCACCGCAGAAGAGCTGCAGACAGGACTGACAGCCATGCGACAGAACTTGAAGATATTCGTCTACGACATCGAGTCATACACCGACAACACCGGTAAGCCCTGCCCTCTCCAGAGTGTGGGGTGTATGTAGGTATATCTTGTTCATACGTACTTCATACTTGTGATGGTTACTTTTATATTATTTGTAATGGGGTTGTGTATATTGGTGCATGGATGGATCTACACACTATGCTTGTGATGTATATACACATCCATCGGCAGTGCTGCTGAGATTGGTCGTGTGTTGCTTATGACATCATGTTTTCGGATGATCTGACCGTAAGTGTCGTTAAACTCAATACAATGCGAAACATTTGAATGTGAATGTGTCAGGTATAAATATCATGTGTGTTCATATATGCAGAATTGAATGTAAGTGTTACAAGTAAGAATCATGTGTGTGTACATATGAAAAATAGAATGTAAGTGATACAAATAAGTATCATGTGTGGCTACATATGAAGAAAAAGAAGAACAAAATCATTACAAGAAAGCCAACGAGTGCGTGAGCATGAATAGCACCGCACGTTCAATTGATGTGTTCACTAACTGCTCAACTGACTACCTTTGACATTCACCTTGACTGCTGCAATATCGTCGGTTACAGGCTTAGAGTCAACCTGTCATGTGTCAGTGTATATCCTTATAGCCGTTGGTTATAGGAATTATTCATATCCAAGTAATTTAAAGGAAAATGTTATGTTAGTGTATGGTTATAGGGATTATTCATATCCAAGTAATTTAAAGGAAAATGTTATGTTAGTGTATGGTTATAGGGATTATTCATATCCAAGTAATTAGAATGTATGTGTTATGTGTTAGTGTATGGTTATAGGGATTATTCATATCCAATTAATTAGCATGTATGTGTTGTGTTAGTGTATGGTTATAGGGATTATTCGTCTCCAAGTAATTCGAATGAATATGTTATGTTAGTGTAGGGTTATAGGGATTATTCATATCCAAGTAAATAAAATGCATGTGTTATGTGTTAATGTATGGTTATAAGGACTATTCATATCCAAGTAATTAGAATGTATGTGTTATGTGTTAGCGTATGGTTATAGGGATTATTCATATCCAAGTAATTCGAATGAATATGTTATGTTAGTGTAGGGTTATAGGGATTATTCATATCCAAATAATTAGAATGTATGTGTTATGTGTTAGTGTATGGTTTTAAGGATTATTCACATCCAAGTAATTTGAATGGATATGTTGTGTGTTAGTGTATGGTTATAGGGATTATTCATATCCAAGTAATTAGAATGGATATGTTATATGCGATGTGATGTGTTAGAGTGTATATGCTTACGGTGTAAGTGTACTGTTGCGTTGAGGACACTCTTATTCACATCCAAGTATTTTTGGCCATCTGTTATTGACAGGCAGACATCCACTCGATATTCAATCCACGCAATGCGGCATTGCCACGGGCAATAACAAGGTAGGTGGTGATGTGTAGGTATGTAGGTCTAAGTTGGGTTGTCATATGTTTGAATAAGGTAGGTGGTGGTGTGTAAGTGTGTGAGTTGGGTTGTCGTATGTTTGAACAAAGTAGGTTGCGGTGTGTAGGTGTGTGAGTTGGGTTGTCATTTGTTTGAACAAGGTAGGTGGTGGTGTGTAGGTGTGTGAGTTGGGTTGTCATATGTTTGAATAAGGTAGGTGGTGGTGTGTAGGTGTGTGAGTTGGGTTGTCATATGTTTGAACAAGGTAGGTGGTGATGTGTAGGTGTGTGAGCTGGGTTATCGTATGTTGGATGTATTATATTAGCCACTCTATGTACAGCTGGTGCCTTGTGCATGTGCAGTGCTTATAAACTCATACATTTGTATAGTTATCTGCTATCAGTGCATGTGTAGTGCCTATACACCCACCCTCATGCCCGCCCCATTGCTGCCAACGTACTCTGTTGGGTCATTGACTCAGTTGGTTGTTTGCGTTCACTCGGTAGGGCTATGGCGTAGAGCGCTATTTTGTGGAGATGCTTAAGCGAAGCTCCTACGTCGCCACAGATGCAACCGAGGCCAACCTGTTTATGATCCCGGTCCTTCCCTGTGCAGGTGCGGCTCCTGAGTGTTGGGTTTTTGGACTAGGGTTTAGCGGAAACCCTAAGCCCTGACCTAACATCTGTGGAGAGTTCTCGTGTTTTGGATGTGTATTTGCTGTTATGTTAGAGCTCGGTTGTTGGAATGGGTTGGCTATGCGAGAGGTGTTAGTGTATATGGTTTTTTGTTAGTGTTGCTTGGCTGTGGGTGACGTTTCTTATACACAACGACCACAAGCACGTGCTACGCTACTACACTATCTCGATTAAACTCTTCCTGGACCCTACATATATACATATGAGAAAAACTCTAAACCCAACATATATATATATATATACACCCGATAAAACATCAAGAAGGCGGCAAGGGTACAAACACATGCTATGCCGAGCACATGCACAACATAGCAATGCACAAGTGTGTTACAACTCCTAACAATGAAGTACATATCATGTGCACAAAAGGCATCCCTCATGGATATACATATATATGAGATAACACACACGTGTGATGTATTTTAGATAGCACAACATGCATATTGCTTACTATCATTAGTACATATACATTAAACTAAGCTGCACGTGTGATGCGTATTAAATAACACCACACGTGGGATGTATCTTATACATGTGACGCATACTTTCACTATCACATAAATATCATATTTTCTCGCCTGTGATACCCACTTTTGTTATCTCTGTCTCACGCACACGCTGTCATGCACACACCCGTCTGCCCACTGTGGTGTGATGCGCACACATCCACACACAGCCAAATGGGAGCACACCAACAAGAAGCTCAGCAAACAACAGAACCACGAGAAGGGCAAACGGTTCTCCATGGACTATGTCACGGCCGCTGTGACTTTCGTCTCCACGTATGTGGGTCTATGTGTAGGGTGCTTGGTCAGTGCCGTGGGGGGGGCTTTGTGGGGAGTGGATGGTGCGGGTGGGGGCACGTGTTATGTTGTAATATACGTGTTTTATATTTTATTATAGACGTATTATATTACGTTTTACACGTATTATATATATTTTATTATAAAGTTTTTTATTATATCATACACGTGTTATATTATACTATTCGCGTTTTATATTATGTTATACACGTATTATACTATATCATATACAAGTTTGATCCCATGGATAGTAGTCAGTTGTGTATATATACAAGCGCGAGTATCGGACTGGGTTCAGATGTGACACGATGCGATCCTTAACCGAATCACAGGCATAGCAATCTTGTTTTAGCCTTAGGGTTTTAGGGCTATAGGGTCTTAGGGTTTCAAGATTACCTACATACTGGGAATTACAGAAGGTGCATGTCGAATCCACTCTCACCACAAACGCAGTATAAGTGATATCAGTAGGCCCCATTTCATGCACCTCTCACTCGAACTGAGTTTGTGTTGAAAACCGTAAAAAACACAGTAGATCCCATTTCATGCACCTGGTGTAGTTGAAGATATGGGCTGCTATGCACTATAGCACCATCAAACCTTATACCCTAGACCACAAGAAACCCCTAAACCTAAACAATGAACCCTGTAACCTCTTTGTGGGTGTCCTATATCCTCTTTTTGGGTGCAGGACTTGGCCCTACCTGAGCGGTGGACGGCCGCAGTTGACAGCGGCGCAGAAAAGTTCGGTACCTTTTGGCGCAGACCACTTTTGGTTCTCAACGCACGACGGAGGAGCCACAAGAGGTGCGTCTAAACCCTAAACCATAAATCCTAAACCCTACCGCCTAAACACGTGCGAGTGTGTGAGTGTCAATTGTACACGTGTGTGTAATAGGTGCAGTATTAGTGTGTGTAGTAGTTGTAGTAGTTGTAGTAGTTGTAGTGTTAGTGTGTGTAGTAGATGTATTAGTTGTAGTGTTAGTGTGTGTAGTAGTTGTAGTAGTTGTAGTAGTTGTAGTAGTTGTAGTAGTTGTAGTGTTAGTGTGTGTATTAGTTATAGCACTAATGCCGTTAAATTGAACAACAAACAATACTGCCATCATACGTACACACCCACAGACTATGTAGTACCCTCACCACAAGCATCGCTGGCTTTGATTGGGACTGTTTAAGTACTGATGAGGCAGAGAACATTACCGACACAGCCAACACTTGTGTCGTAAATACCTATTTCAGGGTTTTAGGGTTCAGGGGTTTAGTGTTGTGCCACGCTATAGAAGCTGCAACTGGTACACGACTGACAGATGGGCAATTGCATACACCGCAGAACTGGACATATTCCCCGAATACGTTTACGCAATGTGACAAAGCGTTTATAAACATACACCAACGGTGAACACAGTGTACTGCTCACATAACACAACACGTTAATGCGTTTAACACTCCGCCATCCGTTCACCCACTCACGTGTGCACAGCATGGGAGGCACCCCACGACTTTGTCAACAACAGCATAGCGCTGGTCAACACAGCCGATGAGGTAATGGCCTACAAACCCTGCTGGGATGTGTCACTGCCATGCAACTGCGACTTCGACCGACCACCCAAACCCAGCGAACACGATGTTTTGTAGGTCTATATATATAAATCCATATATATTCGAATATGTATTTGGGTATATATATATATATATATATATATATATATGTGTGTGTGTGTATTCTATATGTATTGGTATATA